GGAAAAAATCCGAAAAATTGTCAGGCATAAAATTCTCCAGAGAAACTTCATTTAAAGACCCAGACGGGTGAAGAGCGGATGTGGTAGGACACAATGTGAGTGAAAACATGACATGATGGGATGAAGGCAACTTAGAGAAACAGCATATGTAAGGTAGTTCATCTGAATCTGGAGTGTTTTTGCTGATATACAGTGCAAGGGCTGTAAAAATACAAGCTTATACCAAGAAGACCAGTTCCTCACTGAATCTGTTATTGTACTCTTTTGCCATTAAATGACTCTCAGCTAATGCATCTATTTTTAAATTAAAAAAAAAAAAAAGAAAGCTCACCAATGAAGAGGTTTTTCAGGTGGGTTTCACTCCCTGCTCATGTTGGAGGGCTGCAGCTTTGGGTGCCAGCTGCTCTGCTGCTCACTTCAAGCTCCTGGAGTAACCCCTGGGGACAAATCTTAGGGGGAATTGACTGACCTGTTTCTAGTCTTGTGAGGCAGGACAGAGTAAGGACATGTCTCAGACTGATGAACTCAGGGTTGCTTCTAAGAGCAGTGTCACTGTATTTCAGAGCTTGATTTGAATGCTTACATAGAGGTGGCTGGTGTCACCTGAGATGCTATAAAACCTCTGAGATGTCCACTTGGCCAAGCAGAGGCTACAGTCCCCGCTGGAAACACCTTGCCCTCCTGGAATAGCAGCCAGGATATTCTGGTGTATCTCCAATGGTTCTGAGCTTGGGGGATACAAGTCCTTTCCAGTACCTGAGGGAATACAGGAAAGCTGAGGAGTGACTTTTTACAAGGGCATGTAGTGACAGGACAAGGAGTAATGACTTTTAACTGAAAGAAGGTAGGTTTAGATTTCACAAAGAAATTCTTTATTGTGAGGGTGGTGAGGCACTGGCACAGGTTGCCCAGAGGAGTTGTGGGTGCCTTATCCCTGGAAGTGCTCAAGAATGTGTTGGACAGGGCTCTGAGCAACCCAGTCTGGTGGAAGGTGTCCCTGCCAGTGTCAGGGGGGTGGAACTAGATGATTGTAAAGTCCCTTCTAACTCAAACCATTCTGTGACTCTATGATACTCAGCTGACCTCTTAACTCTTACACCTTAAAGTTTTCTATGTATTCTAGAAATGATCTGCACTGTAGTGAGCACTTACAGCTTTGTAAGGGTAAGCTCTGTAGTGAGCTACTCAGCTTTGCAACTGAAGAAATAAAGATGGACAAAGCGTGGCCTCTGTGGCTAAGACCATGCCTTTGCTCTTCCTCTCTGGGTAAAACGTGCTACATTATTGCTGATGGGCTTTAGATGGCTCTCTGTGGCCCATGGGCTCAGGAGAAAAGGGGTGCTTCCTGGTGAGAGACATCCTGCAGGGAAGGGCATTTCTGAAGGGTGGCTGTCACTCCTCTGGAAAGGGACAAGGCCAAACAGCTGGTGCTCTGTAGGAGATTAAATAACGTACTCTGAGAGTCTGGAAAGGTTTGGGTTATTTTTAAATTCCCTTTGGGATTTTTCAAGGTTGTTTGCAGAGAAGAGTTCACCTGGGAGCAGATGCACAGGACTGGGGCTGGGGCAGTACAGCAGGAGGCCACGGCACTCTGAGATCTGCAAGGATCAACCTGTCACTGGTTTACTTTGCTCTGCAAGCCAAAAAAATCGAGAACATAGAGTGCCGAGGCCTGAGGCATCTAAGCCATTTGCATCAAAATGAACTGACAGTTCCTCTTGAGATGAGAGGGTATGAACTAGTCTGTAGTGTCCAGCCCTGGTATTTGGATTGTGTCCTTGATCTGACAGCTGAAACACATGGCTGTTGGTCTCCAAACATTTACATTTTTCAGATGATGTCCTTGGTCTAAAGTTTTGTTCCTGACCCAAGTTAGTCGTAATTGCAAGTGGCTGATCTCCTGCATGAGTTTCAAAGGACAGAGAGGGATAATTTGATGCAAACCCAACATATTTAAGTCCTTCAATCAGAGCCTGTGTAGTGTGATTGCACAGTGAATTAATATCAAAATGATACAAATATTTTTGTCTTTATGTCTGGGTAGTTTTTGACTATTAATTATTTAAAGTCAATAGATACAGAAAAGATAGACAGATAGATAGATAGACAGATAGATGATGAATGTAGAGAATAGCTAGATATAGAAGAATAAGTGTCTTAGTTTTACTAAGTTCTTCATGTACACATTACAAAAAAAACCTCTTATGGACAAAATTGCTCTTTTCCTTTGCTAGGAGATTTCCTGAGAGAATTCTTTCCATCTTGGAAAAAAACCCCAAAACCAATAATTTAAAATCTGTAGTAATCCTAATTCTGAACCATGATATCTTATCTTCAGTCAGGCCAACTCCCTGTTCAAATCAAAGTTTTTATTATTTTTAGTATTATGCAGACATTTTCTTTTGAAACCTTGCCCACCAGAAGAGTTTGGGTTCACAGGTTTCCCTGCAGTGCTTGGCATGAAGAGCTGCCCCTGTTGCAATGTGCTGGCTGGCTCCTGGAGAAGGCTCTGGTGTCACTTCTGAGAGCACAGGTCTTGCCTCATGTAAAAGGTGATCTGGGAGATCCAAAAAAGCACGAGCTGAAATAATTTAATCTAATTTAGTCATCTTTACATATTTTCACTAAATAATTTTTAGCATCCTTGTGTTTGCAAGAGACAGCTGTTTGCTTTGGTCAGCCACACCTTCATGTTGTTAACTGCAGATGAGACTCTTGGATCTCTGGACATTTGTGCCTGGGTTCTTTGCTGCACTTCAAATGGCACCAGATGTTCCTGTCCATGGTGGACAACTGAACCTTGCTCAGCAGAGCAATGCCTCCCACTTGCCTTAAGCATCTCTTTCAGTGTGGGCTGGGGGAAGGTTGCCTCTCCCCATGGCCTGTGTATCTTGATGCCTACCCTAGAAGAGACTTCTTCATGGTGATTCAAGTCAGCTTATTTAACTCTGCTTTCTTTGTTATCCCATTTATCTTCCTATTGGAGGTAGTTTGAGCTCACAAGTCCTTCAGACCACACAAATCAAGCCAGAAAATAAGTTCAGAATAGCAATATTTAATATTTACATATATCAGTGAGGCCAGTGGTCACCCAGTTGGCAGGACAGAGGGTGTTCCCAGGAGCACACAGACATCCCCAGGGCAGGACAGCCTGGAACAAGCAGATGGCAGCAGCACAGTGCACTTATTTTTCTGTGCTGGAGGTGTGCCAGTGGGTATCTCTTCCTCTTCTGGTGCTAGCACAGCCAAAGTTGGCTTTGTCCCAGAGGTGAGAGTAAGGGAGTCAAAACTAAGGGATGAGGAAGGGCAGGTATTTAGGGACTGTGAAGGGTTCAGAGAGCCCCTGTGCTGATGAAGGAGTCCCTCTCCACCTGACTAGATGCAAGTATACTTCTTTCTCACTGCCTCTTTAACTCTTTTCCTGGTTGGCTGTCAGCTGTATGTGGTTGCTCTGTCCATGCTTCATCTGCTGGCAAAGAACATGAGCTTTTTAAGCCACCTGGCAGGTTTGGATGCACCTAATGATGGGCTGCAAACTTCAACAAGTCTTATGCTTTCTTCTTTACAGAAGTTGCATTTAAATTTTATAGGTTAAATTTCCTCCTTCTAGGGGTGAAACTATGCTCCAAGGTGCATATGCACCTCATCTAGGCAACTGGCCTTTTCTTCTCCATTTTGATATAAAGGAGAAGGTGAAGCATTTTGTATGTTGCATTAAAGGACAGCACAAGCAGCCACATATGTCTGCAATAAGTGTATTTAAAGAGCTTGTTCCCATGCTACAGCGCAGAAATACAAACAACTTTGAGAAAACGTAAATCAGGAAAAATAGGCTCCAAGTGCTTTAAATATATTCAGGTTTTCTAGCTGCCTACATGCATTCAGGATGGGTAAAGATGATTTCATGGTTTGGCTGACAGCTCCTGTCCAAGAATTAACCTTTGAGGAAGTCACTGAAATGATGAGTTTTCTGAAACATCCCAGTCATGGACATTAGCTCAAGATCAAGGGCTTGCTCTTGAGTGATGATGGGGAATTATGCAGTTGCTGGTTGGTATTACAGTTGCTAAAAAACTAAAGCTGATGCAATCTGCTGCCTTCAGATTATATCTTCTATATATTACTAAGTTGCACATAATTACTACATTTATCTTTGGTGAGTTAATTCCTTGATCCATGTGCTCTATTCTAGAGCAGCCCTTCAGACCTGTGTGGAAGTTAGTGAAGTTCTTAGGCAGTTTCATGAAGGCAAAATTGGTGGTGAGGTTCTTCACCCTTTTGTTAAGCCAGACATTTCTAAACTCTTGCTGCAAACCCTGTTACCTGTGTCGACCCAAATGCTCCTCTACGGCTGCCACAACTCTCAGATGTTCCTGAAGAGCCAATTTAGAAGTGCCCTGGGCTTTGGCAAGGGGATCTGGCTCCAGGGTGGCAGAAAGAGGCTGGAACCCATGTTCTTGAGTTCCTCTGCAGTGTCTCAAACACTGCTCGATATATTCTCTGCTCATCCTCATTCAAATCTGTGAGTGCCCCATTTGAAAATTAATAGGAACAGACAGGTGAGCTCATGGTCAGATCTGGGGAGCATGGGACATTATTTACATCAGCCAGAGAGTGCCTGCTTCATGCAGCTGATAAATGTGTACATTAGCAATAGCTCCATTTCCCACATACACGAGAGGGCAAGTGGTGATCTTTTATCTGAGGACTGTTGTGCTTTATACACAAGTAAAGCAGTAAGGGCCAGACAGATTAATGTTTCTTGCCAGTACCTGAGGTTTGGCAGGTATGTTTAGAGAGATGAAAATGTGGAGTCTCAGACTGAAATGATCTAGCCCTTTTCCACCTTGACTTCTTCATAAAAAAATAATTTTGCCCTGTGAAACACCTGAACATTTTTTTTGTTGTTTTCCCCCCATAAATAAAACAGTACAGTGCACTATCCTTATTGCATGTGAATCAGCATTTTGGGGCTTGTCTTGGCATTCCTTGTAGGTCATTCACATTCCAGAAATATTTGTCTGAAAGGCAATGAATGAAAGATGATTAATTAATATTTCAGGGGATATCTGACTTACTGCAAATATCTTGTACAATGAAAAGAAACAATGAAAAGGAAGCAATAGTGATAAATGAAATTTGAAAGATGTTTTCTTCCATTCAGTAAAATAACAACATTACTATGTTTGACCAATTTTAAAAATCTCAACTTTTTGTCTCTCACTTACATATGCTGGGGAGGGTCATTATACTTTATCAAAAAAGGCCTCTTAAATAGCAATAGAGCCATGCAATGAGTATGTCAGTATGTTATACTGCTGTTTAGAAAAATCTGAGGACCAGGTTATCCCTGACTATGATGTGACAGACAGAAAGAGGCTGTGCAAATGCATCTGTACTGCCCAGAGGAGCTCGTCCAGGGACTGTGCAGATCTCTCAGCTCATGTACCATCACCAAAGCCTGAAAAATAAAACTGGAAAGAACATAAAGCACCCTTTTACTGCATACCAACCTTTCTTCTCCTCATACATGTGCCACATATGAAGCCAGTGAGTCCATTGATGACTTGAATGAAACAAAGAATAGCTTCAATCACACCGATGACCAGGAGAATAGAGAAAAGGACAATATTCCAAAGGATGATGTTTTCAGGTTGTTTGCAAATACTCCATGTTGTCTGGTTAAACAAATAATTGTCTCTGTGATAGAGGAAAATATTTGGCAAGGTATTAGAAAGTAAAAACTTGAGAATGCTTTCTCTGTTTTCTGGCATTTCATTTTCTGAACTTGACTGCACAAAGTGAGTTTCAAATGGTGCTATAATTGGTCAAAGCTGCTGATTCTCCCCAGAATTCTCTTTGCAGAGATGCAATTGATAATTAGGGAAGAGAGCCACATCCATACTTTGTTGCATGCACAAGTATCTCCTGTTTGTTGTATGGCAAAATTATGTTAATAACTAAAGAGAAAGGTTTTAAAACCTGTCTCCACATTCTCCATTCCTGCTGTGGTATCTCAGCCCAGTCCATTCATTATCTCTAGCTCTGATTTGAAGAGCATAGTTGTCAAGGTTGGCTTTTTAGATTTAGAGAAGATTTGCTTTGCTTTTCAGAAGCAGGTGGAGCAGGCTGAATTCTTTGTAATTTAACAGATTAATGTGGCACAGTAAGCAAACATTTCCTTTTGACTCCAGTGGGAGTCACAGCTCACAGAATTTTGAAAGTGTGGTGCAAATTGCACAAGGGGCTTGTGGCAAGCACAGCAGATGAAACTCAGGCAATTTGCCCAAGGATGATTCCTTGGTCAAAGAAATGACCAGCTGGAACATGCTACTCACACAAGTGTGAGTTTAGGTGTACACAGGGTGAACCATCAGTTCATTTTGGAAAAATCCAAGTTCACTTTAAAAAGATAGGGGAGCGATCAGGGAAAGCAAAATTGGAGGAGTTTGGAAGCCATACTCACTCCAGAGTGTCATTCCTGAAAGGGTAGAGGTATTCTCCATCACCTGTGTCACACAGAGGACCCCCAATCAGCCCCAACAAAGAGATGACCACACAATATGCTCCTCCTGCAAATCCCATCACAGACAGGATCACTGACAGCAGCATCTGAAAGGGAAAAGACCTTCAACATAGTGTGCACAAAGGTTTGAGTAGCATGGAAAACTCACAGTGAATGAGAAAGAATTCTCTTTCTTGTCTCTTACTTTATGCTGAAACGACTACTGCTACTAAATTTGTGGGAGTAAAAAATAGTTGACTTTTTCTGACTGTTGTAGCTGTCCTAGATGTTTAAGAACTTATTGAGTTTTATGCTTAAGCTATTAATGATGAAAAATCTGGTGAGTTTTCTTTCAAAAGCCTGTATAAGGCTAATGCTGGATTGATCTGTTCTGTATCATGTACCTTGGCATTTCCAACTCTTCACCTTTCTTGGCCCTTGCACCAACAGAAAAAGGCAAGCAACTACTGAACAAGATATGAAAGTAACAAAAGATAGGTTAATTGTTTTTGCTAATTGATGGAATGCAAAAAAGCCTTTCTTTTCTCTGCTTTCCTTCATTTTGCAACACCATGACATGCGATTACCACTTCTCATGTTGAGAAATCTAATTGTGCTGCATGTGGCAACAAACCAGCAGTGACTTCAAATTGTATGTAATGCATTCATGTTTTACATCAGCCACTCCCACAGAAATGTTACCTTTACTCCATTCTGGGTAGTTTTCTAGTAATGAATGGGATGTATCCGGTTGCTGTTTGTCTATAGAAACAAAAATCTGGTGGTGCATCTGGGACAGGCTTCTCAATAGTCTTGTTAAGAATCACTGCTCGTGGTTGTTCACAACTCTGCCATAGAGCCAGGGGATAACCTGGAGCAGGGAGAAGGCAGTAGGCCTGCCTTAAAGGCAGGGCAATGGCATGACCAAGGAAGCACATACAGAATACTCTCATCCATGACTCAGGTTTGAAGCCAAATATCTCAAGTCCCATAATTCCCCATTGCCAGCAAATACCAGGTGAAATCCACCACCCCACAAGACAGGTAGAAACCTTCTCCTTGTCCCAGTTGTTCCACAGACCACTGCACTACCCAGTCAAATGGAAATATCCACCATCCATGTCAGAGTTTTTTGACAAAGCCTTGAAAAGTCTTCACTGTTTGAACACATTCAAGCTGGTGAATGCAGTTTCCAGCTTACCAGCCAACAGCTTTCTGTAGAACCTTGCTCGATGCTGGTGTGTGAATTTACTAATTTTGTGTATTGTTTTGCCTCTGAGGCAATCCTTGAGTTAAAAGTTGCTGGGATTTCTCATGGGATTTATTTAATCATAACTGATTAACAACCCAAAGCTGGATACTCTTTCCTTAGTCTTTATCTGCATGTTGGCTGAATTGCCTCTTAGCAGAGCTCCATTGTCAGCAAAATGTAGATAATTTAGTCTATTGTCCTGGACCAAAACAGTGTCTGGGTTGTAGCTGATGCACTGTCTCTCACAATAAGATCACCAACCATGCCTTGTGGTGAAGGTGAGTGACTGATACTCTCTTTGAAACTCCTACCTATTCTGAATCACTTTTCCCCATTTGCTTCCTCATTTACTTCAACTCTGCATTCTGCTTCTTGGTTGAAGGATCTTAATTATGTTAACAATTCATTTTGGTAGCAGTACAGGGCATCCCAAAGATAATTATGAAGAAAAAGTCAAATGGTCTTTTGGTATTACTATGTTTTATGATAGCAGTTACTACTGGTAGTACTTGTCAGTGCTATCTATGATGACTGTGTTCTGTCACATGATTGTCTCATTTGGAATCTGTTGACTGCAGGACTAACCTCATCCCAGCTATTTCCCTTACTGTGTACAGGATCATCTAGACAGAGACTTTACTTGTCACCAAAAGAGGAGTCTGAATTTGCTACAGCTGTTAGATTGGCTCTCCTCAGCATTTTCTAGACATGCAGGGGCATTTCTCCATTTTATCTAGTGATCTGGAGACTTTTCTGGAGGCTTGCCTCATAATCTGTGAAAATCCAAGGATTTTATTGACCATTTCATCATCTCAAACTTTCAGCATTTTCTCTAGTAGTAGTTCTCATTGAAATATTTCATTTCCTCATTTGTGTCCTTAATTGCAACAGGAGGCCTAAGCTGGGATGCTTGAGTGTGTTGAAATTTGTTTCCCATGATGTTGACCTGTTCTGTACTCCTGAAAAGGTTTTGCTGACCATTTTGCTGATTTTCCCTGCTTTATTCAATCCTTTAATTGAATTGTCCCTGGTGAGCTGATGAAGACTCTTAGAATTCATTCTTTGAATGTTTGTATCAGCTTCTTTGGTGAAGTTACCAAGTTCTTCCTGTCCCAGCTTGTGCTGCTCTTTAATACCCTGGTTCTTGCTCCATACACATTTCTTTCTTCTCTGTCTTCTCTGTTTTTTGTCTGGAAGTGGTTTTTGGGTTTTTTGTATTTTGGGGTTTTTTTATGGTTTTTTGGTTTTGTTTGTTTGTTTGTTTGTTTGTTTTTTGTTTTTGGTTTTTTTTTGTTGTTGTTGTTGTTTTTTGTTTGGTTTTGTTTGTTTGCTTGTTTTTGATGGAATAGTTATTCTGTCTGGTTATCTGGATATCTTTGCTTAAGTTTGTCTGGAAAGCTGCTATGGCTATTCTTGTTCTACTAGTAACTCTTAAGGAAGACTTAGAAATACTGGACTATATGTTTGCTGATGCAATGAGAGAAGCTGTATTTTGGGTGGGTCTTTTTCCTCATCACGTCAGTGCAGTGGATAATTTCAGATGTGTACGTGCTAAGCTGCAAGACACTGAAGCTTTCTAAATCTATTACTTTCCAAATTCATTACTCCATAATGCAAGGACAAGAGGCCATTGATGTATGTTTGTAAATAATAATTTAAAGTTGATTAATGAAGAAACTTAATGTAGCATGTAATCACTGTGAACTGGAAAACTTGCTAAAGTGAATAAAAAGTATGAGAAACATACTATTTTTATTACTGTTGAAGATACTTTGGCAGTGTGTAAAGGCTTTGACGAAGTCTGAAACTATTAAACCAGGAATTGTGCAAAATAAAATAGAACAGAGCCCCTGCCCTGAGCAAAATGTTATGTTTTGATTAAACAATAATTCTGATCAGTAATAATTCTTTAACCTTTTTTTCCCCTTTTTATTATGACAACCAGTTCTGCAATTTGGAGTATCCAAGTGTAATTTATCATTTTATACGTAAGATTTCCAAAGCAGAAAGGTGCCCAAACTTGCCTTTGGATTACAGTGGCTCCTGAGTAGTTCCATGAGGGCTGTTTCTCTGCCAGTAGGTGGGGAACCCTTAGCAGGTCCATCCAGACCTACCTCCCAAGGAGCTCTGTCACTCTGGGACGCTGCTGATATTGTGGATGTTTGAACCCATCCCAGGAGTTCTCTGCTCTCCAGGGCCTCACACCATACCTACCCTGCCTTGCATATACAGCCCTTATAGTCAGGACATCTGAGCACCCCTGCTCTGGATGCCTGTGCATTTCCTTCCACGCTCCACAAAGCACATTTTGCCTGAAGTTTCATCCCTTAAAGAAGCAGACCATCAGCCTTCAGATCTCCCTGCAACACTGACCTCTTTTTGAACGTTTGGAAATCACTCTTCCCCAGGAGCTGTGCAGGGTAAACTTGTTTTTAGTTGTTCACAGCCATTCACTCTTTGCTCATGTCCCCATCTCATCCCTACTTTGAGCATCTCAAGCAGACTGTTTAAAACATAAGGAGTAGAGGTTCACCATTTCCACCTCACAGAGGTGTATGACTCCAGAGGGAGTGTGTTCAAAAATACAGCATTTTCATAGATAGACTGTCCTCACCAAGCCTGTTTTCCACTTTGCTTTGGGTAGCTTCGTCACTTGGCCATCAGCCACTTTGTGATATGGTTTAGTGGGCATGGTGGTATTCATTTGAAGGTTGGACTTGATGAACGTGGAGTTTTTTCCAACCTTAATGATTCTGTGATTCTCCTGATTCTACAAAATATCACAGTGCATAATCAAATTACTTTCTTAATATCTATTTTATTCCTCCATAACAGCAAATAAAGAAAAGGAGAACAGCTTGTTGGTAACCAATCAGTGATGGGAAGGTGCAGACAGGGTATCTGGCATTGATGTACTGCTGCTAGGAATGGCTCAGACAGTGAAAGAGGAGGTGGAGAATGGAGGATTGTGGTGGGTCTGTGGATGTGGGCTGCTGGATGACACTGTGCTAGCACCTGTGTTGTTGTGCTGGGGAGTGAAACCAGCAGCCTGGGGAAGTTTGACTCTTGGCTCTGTAATATTTAGGGCTGGGATGAAAGATGGAGAAGAGACACCTGAGATGTGTGAACTCAACCCAGTTCAGCTGGATTTCCCCTTGTGACTTAACAGATTCAGTGAGCATAGGAATCACAGCAGTAGCGGTGTTTCATCACTGCTTTCTTCATCACCCAAAGTCAAGCAAAGCAGCTGGCTCAGGCACTGTTTGCAGGGTGCCTAGGATCTCACCCCAGCTCTGCAATTGGCCTGCTTGGCCATTGTCAGCATCCTGTCTGTGCATGTGACATTTGGTAAAATCAATGTAATGGCATGTCCCTTGGGATGTGCCTGCTAATATGTGACATCCTAATAAAGAATGCTATTTTGGTATTATGTGTCATGAATTAAGTAAAATGTTTTAAAGAGGCAAAGGTTTTCTTGTGGATCAGACTAAATATTAATTGAAGAGTACAGAACAGACGTGCTTTACTGCATGGAATCTCTCATTCCAGGCTGCTTCTGGGAAGGATGCAGACTCAAAAAAATTTCTAAGTCAGTTTATTCTTGCCAATAATGATAGCCACACAGAAGTCTATACCCGGGGCTTGAGGATGAATGGATATGCCTTTATAACATGTTGCTTTATAATATTCTTAATTATCAAGTAAAACATCTCTCTGGCCTTTCTTTAGATGTCAGAGAGCCTAAATTGCATTTTCACATTTCACATGCATAATATTTGGGCACATGTGAGCTACTGGTCAGAACTGCAGGAAGAAGTGCTGCCTCCTCAGTGCCAGATGCAGCATCTCATGCTTTGGCCATGGACCTGCAAATAGGGGATGTGTGTATCCCTACAGAGAAAAGCAGGGATGAAGCTGTGGAAAAGTAGATTTCCATGGAAGGGTATAGAGGAACCAGGACTCTGTGGAAGCAGGAGGAACAGGCAACTGTCTCAGTCTTTATGATTGCCTTGAACAGGGGAGCTCAAGGAAGCTGGAGCCACGTTTTACTTCATGGGATGTAGCCCCCTTTGCTCTCAGCATTGTGCCTGAGGGCTCCAGCCCTGGCCCTGGCTGATTTCCCTCCTATCAGCAGCTGCAGCATCATAACGTTCTTGTTGGCTCACTGAGCCCTCAGCCCCAGCCCAGGGACGCTGCAGATCAAGCTCCTCTTCTCCGTTTCCCTGACATGGCTGCTGACAGAGGTGTGATGGTTTGTCACTGCACATTTCCACCTGCTGAGCAGCCATTTCAAGAGCTATTGCACAAACTCTGTAGTGCCATTTCAACACATGAATGTCCACTTACCCCACACCTGTTAGCGCAACATCCTGCTCCACCTGCTCCCAGCATCATGAATGCCGGCAAAATAACCTGTAAGAAAAGCATAGGCTTTGAATTAGTGTGCAGCACTTCTGCTGGGGTGCTTTTTAAATTCTAAGAGCTTGGGCATCATGTTCCTCAAATATAAGTCACCTTTTGTCTCTTCTCTGGGAATTACACCTGCTTGGATGTTGGTGCTACTGAAGAGTTACTCAGAAATAATTGTGGGATTGCAGTCTGGCAAATTGCTGGTACATCAATTCTGATTGCTGAAGCTATACTGCTTTCTTTTCAGGGTATAAAAAGGTTCAGCACAGGATTGTTGGAGTTTTTTGTTTGGAAAAAAAATGTGTTAGTTTTGAGAAAACTGAATTTCTGCCCAGAAAAGATACATAACTGGACTAAGAATTATGATCAGTGTAAGCCTCCTGAGCATTCTGCTCTGGTTTATAATTAGGAAATCAGCCTTGAGCTTCCTGAAACAGATCTGACTTTGGTTTGGGTGGGGGGTGTTTGTGCTGAATTTCTGGAAAACCTACAAGACGGACTTCAGTCAATGGGGAACTTCAGTTCACATCAGCTTTCTCCATGGAAATTATCAGGCAGAGCTGGACCAATATAATGCAGTCAGTAACCATCTATGACTGGAGACATTATGCTGCCTTACAGACACCCTGGAGTTAGGAAAAGTTGCCTTCAGTTTGGTAGCCAGAGGGCAAGAAAGCTTTTGTGGGTCTGGCTTTGCAGCCAGCACACTCCCACTGCCTTGTCTCTACACACCAGTGATGGTTAAAGCATCTCAAAGAGCAGCACAAGTAAAGGAGTACTTAAAAAATTAGGAAATGGTTACCATAAAGTTAATGAAAGAAGAAGAGCCCAAATCAGTCAATCAATCAATCAATCAATCAATCAAACAAACAAACAAACAAACACAAAAGGTAAGGACTGTAAAAATGGCCTCACTAGATGCTGGCAAGATTTTTTCTCATTCAGGGCAGGAAGAGCAGAATGTCCATGATTAACAAAGCCCACGGAATTTATGTGTGTAGTGTGAATATCTCTGTTGAACAGTGTGAGACGTTGTTATGAAACTTGCTTAGATTTGTAGGCTCCTAGATATTTTTCAAAGGATTTATTCTCTGTTGCCTTTTATGCACACCCTAGAGGCAACCTACAGCACCTGAAGTGCTGGCTGGACCACATCTGGAACCTGCAGAAACAGAGCATTGAGGTTAAAAAGGTGTTCCGCTTCCTGCAAAGAAGTCCAGTCTTAAATAATCCCAAATGGTCCCCAAGGCAGCCTCAGCCCAGGTGTTCTACTGTCAGGCACTCAGAAGGAGAGTTAATACCTCTGCCCATCAAACCAACACTCCTGTTCCTCCAGGGCTGTCATTTTTCTTTCGAGGTTTCCCATCTAAGTGGCAAACACTTTTGTGTCATCTATTAGCCTGGCTCAGGATGAAGGGTTTGCTTGGAAGCTTTCTTTTTATGCAGTGCCTGATTATAAACACCTGCCTTTTGACATGGGCATGAGAATTTGCTGGGTTTGGCTGTTGTCAGTAAAACAAGAGCTGTGTGTGAGCCATAGCTCAGTCAGGCATTTCCTTCTGTTGCACACAGGCTTTCTATGAGGAAAGGCGTTACTGCGACACAGAGTCAGTCTTACTCTCTTTACATCCCAAATATTTGAAATAAGGAAATTGAGAGGTTTTCATGTCATATAATTTCCATTAGAAATTCATCAGAGGAGGAAAGGGTGGAGCTGGCTGCTCAGCCAAAGGGTATGCTGACAATCTATGTATCAGTCTACAGATGAAATTCCCAGGTGCAGGGAGGTTTACTGGCTCACAGAGCTAAGCCAGGCTGTTATGAAGTTTCTCCCACAGTCTTGACTCTGGAGGCTGCATCCTAGTTGTGGGGAGATTCTCCAAGATCGGGCAACCTGTTGGCAAGGCTTGCCTCAGTTTCCTTTGGGAGGAATCCAGGTGGATGGGGGAACACACTGCAGCTTCATCTTTCCTCACTGAAGTGTCAGGATATGGACCAGACTTCAGTCGTGGAGCATCCTCTCCCTTGTTTTAACTCCTTAGGACACTGAAAAGCCAATCTTCATTTTCCCATGCTTCCAGCATCTGGAAGATGGAGCTGCTGATAATGCTTTCTTTCCCCTTACCCGTGGGCATTTCTCATGCTGTTTTCTGGAAAACATGCACTCAACAGAATTTTTTGTGGATCAATTACTCCTAATGTTGTGTTTTGAAGGTCAGTGCAAATTCTTCCTCTCCTCTGACTAGCTGTTCTCATTTTTGATGTATGTGGTGCTGGCCCCAGGCAAATCTGTGTGGAAGCCTTAAAAGAAGGCACGTTTTCAATGAGCCAGTGATGCTCTCATGTCTAACATCTCTCCTTTCCTTTCATTGAACGCCAATGGCTCCTGGGCTTGCAGTGATGCGAATTTTCCACAAGGTCTCTCATGTAGTTGCACTTCTTCCTTCTACAAACTCATGCTTATGTTCAAGCTCAGCATGAGTAATAGGCCCAAGTGGTAGCCACAAGAAGAAGCAGACAAGCTGCTGGTGGAGAACAGTTTATTGAATGACCTTATGCCATGTTTCTGCTTTGGGAAATATGAGTATGAACCAGATTCACTGCAGGCTTTCCATAGACTTAAGCAGCAGCTGCATCATAGGCTGACTGTGAAAGAGATTTACTTTTTTCTAAGTTAATTATTCTTAAAGATTAATTTATTTTTTGGCCAGCTCTGTGCCAGTTTGCCATCTGCCCAGTACTGGTCATATGCGTATTACTTGTTCAGCTTTTTAACTGCACTTGGGTAGATAATTGAAAGAGCACAAGGGGAGCAGGCTTTCTGATGAACTGGAAAGATAAGTATTCCCCAACATGTTCCCTTCTAGACATTGATATTCACATAAAAGTGATCTTTCCTGAGGCCTGGAATGGAGAACTAGTTATAGAAGAGCACATTCAAACCAGATCCAACCCAAAAGAAGGTGGGTGGGAGTGTGGGAACAGGAGGCATTCAGCTTATTAACCCATCTGCAACTCCACATTTGTAAAGTGTTAGCTGGGTCTCAAACTAACACCTGCTGAAACACGTTTTTGATTTTCCCTTAATGTTTTTGTGAATTGGGGGTGCAGACAATAGTGAAAACTCACTGCCTCCAGCTGACCTCAGCTTTGCTTTCACTCTTGGAGGATGAACACTCATGTAACTCTTCTCCACAGTGAGTAGTTAGGCCTAGTGCTTCTTGGAGTCCTGATATTTATTTCAGGAATGTTTTGTATTTCTTTGACTAGGCACTTTTTTTGCCATAAATGCATTTTCTCAGTTACATACCCAACTTCTCATTTAAGCTGTTCACATGTCTATGTAAAACACATTTTTATGACTTTTTTTTAATGGTGATTTTCTTGGCCCCAAATTTAAAACAAAACCAAACAAAACTCACAAGAAATATTAATCTCTTACCAGTATCCCAGCTCCCAGAATGCCGTGGAAAAACCAAACTAAATCAGTTATCTCGCTGAGCTGCAGTACTTGTCCATTGGGGAAGTACAGGAGAATGTTGGAGACAATGGCACATATTGCCAGTGGGAAGAGGGTGATCCCAATGCACTTTGAACACTTCCCCGTGCACATGGCAGCTCTCTGCTCAGGAAAGATACAGGGAGGTTTGGGTTACTGCAGTGCAGGGAGCACCACGTTTCAGCAGTTTTATACTTTAATGAAAGAAGAATAAATTTCATAGAAAGAAATGTTTCAGGTAAGACATACACAGAAAATCCTGTTCTACAGACCCTGTTCCCTTCAGAGAATTTATTTAAAATTGAATTATTCACAGCTGGGATGTTTAATTGAATTTACTTAAAATTGTGATGGTAGGAAATTACCAGAGGGTTTCATTTTAGTTTTTAATGGACAATTGTCTGTCCATTGGGAATATCAGTCACAAAACCATGACTCCCCAAACAGATACCCTGGCTGGCAGTCAGGGCTAAGGCCTGGAGTGGAAGGGGAGGTGGATGCTGTCCTGGTTTAACCAAGCCTGGTTTTCAGTTGGGGGGAAAGATTGACATCCCCATTACCAATCAGAGGGCTATTTTTGGAGATTGACACCCAGTTAAACCACTTAGAAGAGCTGGATGCACCTCTACAAAAACGCATTTATGGATGGGCTAGGGCAGGGAAGCTCTCTTGGTTCCCGGCCTCTGAAGGGGTAACTAGCCAGGCCCAGGCTGGCCCCTTGCGGCTAGGCCAGGCCTGCCCAGGCCAGGCTTGCACGGCCCACATGGTTGGGTCAGTGTGCTGCTTGGTTCAGATTTCTGCTGCCTCCGGGCCACGCCACTGAGAATGTCCCGGTGCTGTGGATGACCGCGCAGCCAGGATGCTTGGCCGGAGTTGGTGTGGCCGAGACAGCGCTGTGTGGCCAGGGCTATCTCAGCATGGCTCGCACATAAATTTTGCTTTACTCCAAGACCAGCTCTAGCAGTGGCCCTGTGGCCAGCGCTGGAGACGGCCCCAAGGCCAGAAGCGGTGAGGGCCAAAAGATGGCCCCAAGGCCAGAAGTGGCCAGGGCCAAAACTAGCTGCTGCCAGCCCAGTCCAGGAGCAGCCATGGGGCTGAGAGCGTGTGGCTGCAGCTATCTCAGCATGACTCGCAATAGACTTGATTTGCTTAGCCACTTTTAGCCAGCCATACTGCAAACAGAAAGACAAAAGCAGCAGCAGTTTTGTTTCTTTTTCCTGGTGCCTTGCATGAAGAAAAAGCAAAGGGGTGGCACTGGCAGCCAGTGTGGCTTGCACAGTGCTGGCAGGGACCATGTAACAAGCAGCAAAAGACACAGCCATTCCTCAATTTCAGAGCCTGGATGAGATCAACCTTTCAATGCTGCAAGACTATCAGAACTATTTCAATTGATAAAGCTTAAGAACTAACGAACCTACAAACACTAATTCTCTCCTAAATGAGGAAAAAAACAGAGTGAAGGCATGTAGAGAAAACAACGCAGAACACTGAAGTCAGTAAAGATGTCAAATACTAGATGGGAAAGAATCAAGGAGATGCCTTAGTCTTAGGCTGAAATTCTTTTGTGAGGCTGTGGTGGAGATATATTTTTTGAGATATCAAACGTCATTTTTTCCCTATAATTCATAAAGTGCATAAAGAAATGCATCATTCATCTGCAGCCCATGAAAAAAACCCACTCATGCTAAAGCATATAAATGCTAAAAAGCTATAATCCAATAAAAAACTTAAACAGAAAATGATAAGAGAGATGAGAAACTTTGCCCTAGGGATAGAAGAAGAAAAACTTCTGTTTCCAGAGATAAAAAAAAAAAAAAAGAAATTTTGTTTTTATGCTAAAAGAACTTATCCTTAAAATAGTACCCCATGAGCTGACATAGCCCATAGAAGCAGCTTTGAGAAAGCTGCAAAGCATAAGAAAGACCTTCACACTGCAAAAATTTTCCTTTCCCAGGTGGCTGATTCATTATGACATTAAAGCCATGAGAAAACTGTTTCTTGTAAAAAAGTCTCCATAGCATGGCAAGAGAGACTCCTCTCCCTAAGTAAACTAAAGAAAGATTATTTTAGAAGGGATAAACTGACTAAAAGTTCCAAATTTTGTCTCTTCATGTTGTCAGGGGGAAAGAAAAGAGGGTATGGGGAGAAGATAAGTGTTCTGAAGATTTGTTCTGATTTTCTTATACTTTTTCTTTTAATTCTGTTAATAAAGTTCTCTTTATATCCTTTAAAATTTTGAGCCTGTTTTGCCCTCCTCCTCCTAATCCATATCTCATTTCAATAAATGAGTATATAATTTCTAGTGGGTGCAGTAACGTTTAGACAGCACTAAATCCATTACAGATGCCTTGGGTTTTCTGGGACCACTGTCTTGGGAAGCTGATTTGAAATCTCTTGCACTGAAGGTATAGAAGAACAGGAAATGGCTACCAAGGATACCATGTGAATGTTCAACCCTGCCTTGGCACTGAGACTAGCAGGGAAGCCTCCCCAAGGTGCCTACCAGCTGCATTTCCTCTATTTCAGTCAAAAATACACCCTCAGCAAGAATTGGAGAGATATTTATTATTGTTTACTGTGCACGTAAGGGTTGATAAGACTTTGGATTATAGGCCTGCTTGGCACCCACCCTAAAGTAGCTGAAAAACTGCAATCTTGTCTAATTCTGTGTCTGTTTGCTAAGGGCAGGTCAAAAAACCATCCCATCTCATTTTCAGAGATCTGTCATAAAATACAGTAGCTTAGTAGTTCATAGCATCCAGGTTCTTTTTTTAAAATCAAAGAATGAACATAAATGAAGCACTGGATGAGAGAGATCTCTGCAGGTGTCCAGTCTGACCTCCTGCTGAAAGCAGGACTACCACCAACACTAGGTCACTGTGTCAGCCACAGCTTTGTGTAGCTGAGCTTTAAAAACCTACAAGGATGGAGCCACCACTGCCTCTCTGGGTGACTTGTTGCAGAGTTGACCCAATCTCTTGATGAAAAAGACTTTTCTTGTGTCCAGTCTGAATCTCCAAAGCTGTAAACAGGGCTGTTGCTCCCCATTATATCCTCTCACACCATTCCATCACCTCTGTCACATCCCAGTTTTTCATAGGCCGTTATTAGACCTGTCTTCACCAAAGTCTACAACCTCAGCTCACACTGCATCCATGCTGTAATCTACAGCTAGAGAGAAAAGCCTGATCAGTACAAAAGTGGATCCACAGATATGCCTCCAATTTGGAAATTTCAGACTACTGGGTCAGAGATTATTGAACTTGCATACCACCTTCAACTTTATGGCACAAACTGATCACAACTTCTTCATAGTGTTTTATTATTGCTTCATTTCAGCTCAGGGGTTTCAAATGCATAAAAATAAAAAATGTGCATGAAAATACAAAATATCAAGCTGTGGATTTCTGTCCTCAGAGAGAACTGTCAGTTTATAACAAAAAGGGCTTTGCTCTCCTGTGAGTCAGTTACCAAACGTAAGAGAAGGATAAGGACATGGGCACACACCATTTCATGCACAGACAGGTGCCTTCGCTTGTTATGTGCAAATAGTTTTTGTAATTACTGAGGCACTCAGCATTGAAATGTCCCTCAATTTACTCATATGCATTGGCTAATCCGGAAAGTTTTATGACAAAGATTGCTGTGGAGAAGACATTAGGAGGCTAGGGACACAGAAATCCATCAAGGTTGGGTTCCCAAGCAACAAAAAGGGCCAGGTGAAAGGTAGCTTGAAGCCATTTGAGAAAGGCAGAGACAGGCTAAAACAGATCTTGGCAACAGAATGAAGACAGTAAAGAGATAAGGTAAGATATCAGGTGAGATGTCCTCTGACCTATTCAAATGAGAGGGAAAACAGAAAGACTTTATGGGTTGCCATATATTGCTATGAAGCAGCTGTGGCTGACAGCGACTTCTTCTGAGTTTGCATTTCTATAGCAAAAAATTTGCATTGTTCTCTGCTGCTATGAGTTGAACAAGAGCACTGTGCTTGTATGCATTTTCTTCTGAGCACTTTGCAGTCATGTTGAGCTTTATAATCTGTGTTTAAAATAAGCTAACGGGCATTAAACTATTCCAGATGGGATCATTTTTAACAGAGATACTTCTGTGTTTATGGTCATTATCTATTGTTTACACAGTGCTCAAAATTTGGCAAAGCATTTTGCAAGCCTCTGGAGAAAACCCTAGCTCAAAGAGATAAAAATCTAAACAGACCAACAATGTGCAAGTGAAAGATGAAGTGGGGAAAGGGAATGGAGGAAAATGGAAAGAATACTGGATATTTCACCTGCCTTTCAAATCACCTGTCTTTCAAATAAGGTTATTTTTTTACACTAACTCTTGCCTTCCTGCTTTCCTGTCTCATTCCAGCTTTAGCTTTTCCATTTGTTTGCCCAACCTCACCTACCTCCCCTCCCCAGAGAGAAGCAAACAAGCACAGGCACAGCCTAGCCTCCTTCTACAAAAGCTAAGCCTTGTAGTTGAGTTATGAATTCTCTTCTGCATCTTTCGTACATGGCTGGAGGGCCCAGTTCTTGTACGGCACAAAGCAACCCGACGCTGCTTTGGCTGGAAGAGCTGGGAGTTCCAGCCCTTTCTCTCTGACCTATCTCAATACCACTTCAAACTGCAGGGAGAACTTACCTAAACAACAATCACCAGACATAGTGAGAGCCTCTACCACCAAAATCAATGCCGCTTTGCCACCTGTGCACATCAGAGGATCTGCATGCGTTATTATAGCTTAGGAAAACACTCCGGTTTGCCAGAAGCACTAAAACGCTTTATTAATTCACCAACCAAAAGCACATTCTACAGCTTCGTTAAGCAAGGTGGCTAGAGCAAGCTTCTAATTTTTAGTGAGGTTTTTAGAAAGTTTTGCTTTTTAATGCTACAGTAAGCATGTAAATACTTTTGCTTACCTTCTAAGCAGGGCTAAGATGGCCTCCAGAGTTCCCCACAGCCAGCTTCAGGCTTTCCAGCTCCTCTCTCCTGAAGCTTGTCCGTTTGACCGAGGCACGGCAATGTTTTTGGGTGACGGCCTCTATTAAACAATTAGCTGTTTCTCTCTGAGAATGAGGAAATACCCCAAGTTATCCCTGGTTGGCCAG